ATACACTTCACATTCTAGTAAACACGCGCATTGATAATGGGTGGCTTCAATACTCGAAGGCCCCTTCAACGAAACATTAGCATCTGTTGGCCAACCATCAAGTCATCAAGAGCCGGTTGATGACGGTATCCCCGATGCGTGCAGATGGACAAGTCTCAGTCAGCTCAAGGCTGAAATAGAATGTATAGGCTGTTGGTGACTCATTGGTATTCAAAGTGTCTCGCCAAAATGTTGAGGATACAACGATGACATGCTGCTTTTACTTTCCAGTGTTGGGATATCTGTATTTTTGGATTGGCTTATTCCGCCCGGTCAGTCCGCAACTCTGTCATATAACCAGGTTGTAGCAAAGTCTAGTATCGATTGATGATGCTACCAAAGTCGCCAAATCAATGGCAACATCTTTTGTAGGAAATCAGAATGACTCCCCTTACCGCCATAAGAGTGAAAAAACGCCATATTAATGTTCTGGTTCTGAAGGTCACATACAGTTACAGTAATAGCCATAATTGGACAGCCGCATCTTAACAGCGACGTCATACCTTAGGTCTGTTTAAATGCCTTTAGGTAAAACAGTTGCCAGTCACTATCACGTGGCCTGTGCATTCCACCTTGTAGAAGATGACTGAATCACGTGAATAGCACGTGATAAAACCTCCCTTGCCGTATGTGGCTAGACTGACAATCTTCCGATAATCCGCCTCTCCAAGCATTGACTTCCAATTTGCTGTGCTGTTGCCCATCGTGAGCTTCGCTAGGTCACGCATTTCTTTAATTGACAACGCCAGTCATCATGAACGCCTTCCGCGTCGCCCGCGCAGCTCTGCGAGCTCGTCCCGCTGCTATGCGGCTCCCCATCCAGCCTCTGCAGCGAAGGGGCTATGCCGATGCCGCCCCCGACAAGGCTCGTATCACACCCCATAATAGAAATGGTGCTCTACTAACATGGATGGTGTAGATCAAGCTAAGCTTGTCTCTCCCTCACCAGGTACGATGACCTCTAGCAGTGCGAGGAGGTTCATTACACATCATGTTACCCGCGAACTCTATTCAACACGCCTACGTTAGACGACCTTGCTGCCGGCCGGCCCTGCTAATTCCCGCAACAGTCCATCTATACGTCGCAAGGCGTTGTCCAGGTCAACATTCCGGCCGAGTCTGGTGAAATGGGTGTTCTTGCCAACCACGTCCCTTCGATCGAGCAACTGAAGCCAGGTCTGATTGAAGTTATCGAGGACAACGGCACCAGCAAGCAGTTTTTCCGTACGTACATACAAATAAACGATGAAGGTATCATTGGGCGGTTCACTGAAGTCTATTGCTAGTTTCTGGCGGCTTCGCTACCGTTCAGCCAAACTCTGTTTTGAGCATCAACGCCGTTGAGGGCTACCCCTTAGAGGATTTCAGCGCCGAAGCTGTCCGATCTCAGATTGCCGAGGCACAGAAGGTCGCCAACGGTAGCGGTAGTGAGCAGGATGTCGCGGAGGCCAAAATTGAGTTGGAGGTAAGGCGTACCTTGGATGTTTTTTTGCTCTGTCTTACTAACGGTATCAGGTTCTGGAGAGCTTGCAAGCTGCATTGAAATAGACTGTATAGAAGATAGTGGTCACGCAACAACTTGTACATCAGCATAATTCCTTACAATTCTCAAAAGCGATGCACGCTGGTTTTGAGGGGTTTGACGTCTACACCTGCGGCTACCTTTTATTGTGAATGCGCCTACTTGCCATACATACTGTGGTTGCCTTATAAGGCGCTTTTATGTAGTCGCTACCTAAGATTGTGTCTCAACTGAGCCGCGCCGATGACGCACTCTTCGATTCTGCAGGCCTACTACTAACAGGTAGTGCAATTCTCAACATAAGTTTTGGGAGCTCAAATATATTATATTAATTCTGGTATGCCTGGGCGACAATGCGCCTTTTATAGGGCTACTGAAACCGCCGAGGGAGATTCTTCGTCATGTCTTCACGCTCCCGAAGATGTGCTCCCGTTGTTAAGGACGGGCCCAGCCAGAGTGACTACCCCGTTCTCGATAAATCAGTTCCTACTAGAACCGATACATTACGGCCGCAGCGATTCTGCGTATCTCCTAGCCATATCAACTCATCGTCCAAAGACCACGGTTCCGCCGAATGCGAGCGCGCGAACATGGCCGTCGCTTAGAGACGTCCGCCACGTTCCCAGTTCGCAGACCCTTCTATTCAGCATCTCGATTTGCCGGACTTCCAGATGCTTCCCGCTTCCCATATATTTGTCTTCCACAATTGTGGACGGGATAATCCTGTCAAGGCGTCTGCTCAGAACTCCGGGATTCAAGCACCACTATTGTTGAATCCTTCATCATGTCGCAAGAGCTTTTCTATGGGTCACCTATGTAACAAATTCGGTCTCACGGAAATCCACTCGTCCAGTAGACAGTATCTTCTCAACGTGGTCAAAGAGACTCGGTTCAACCCAAGCCATACATACTTGGCAACACCTAATCATGACGAAATACATCCCTTCACAAACCCCTTGTTCCCTAAAACGCCACAAGACATGATATTGGCTTCTCCCAGCTTGTCTCATACGCCATATACTGAGCGATGGAGGTCAGCCCGTGATATATTCACACAGTACAATATTAGCAGACCCTCCGGCTGGCTTTCGGATAATGAGGACTTGTCTCTATCAGGGGATGGAAATGCCAGCCCCCGAAGATATTGCCGATACTGTCACATTTGCTCAGTCCCCACATTGGCTCCGACTCATTGCTTGTCCTGTGGACACCGCCTCTATGAGAGGTGCAAGTTTGAAGTGTCTAGCGGCACTCCGCAGGCTCATGCTGGCTTTTCACATCATCTGAGCCCTACTGTAGCAAGAGATGGATCCCAATACGTATCAACCTCTCGGATAGATCCGAAACTTATGCAGAGGCTCTCTCAGGGTAAAGAAGTGGCCCGTTCCACCTCTGAGAACCGGAACCATGACCGCACAGACATGCAACTTCGTCGACCGTTCAATATCCGTGCCGATACCAGCTGGCGAAAGATTAGTGGGCGTGGAAAAGAAATGACCTTCTCTGAAATATCTGCTCCAACTAGTAGCGATCATCAGCGCATGAACGAGGAGCAACGTAAACAGAACGGGGGCGACACCTCAAATATGCCTCCACAGGTTGTAGTTGAGAAGTCTGACTTTAATGAGAATCCCGCGCGAGAGAAAAGCGATGTCCCTCATCGCCACCACTCTGCAGGCTTCCATAGCTTTCATCACATCGCGGAACATCTTTCCTCGGCAGTTGGCCATAATGCTCATGATCTTGTTAGAGGCCGTAGTGAAAAAGAAACCAGGCCCGTCTCGTCCAAGACTAGCGTCAAGCGGAGCCCGTATCTTCTTCCTCTTACGAAGCCTAAGCCGGTCACACGGATTGATTCGTTTCATTGGACTCAAGATACTGTCCCTCCAGGCCACCCAGGTCGCTCAGGTGGCGATCTTCCGTTGACAGAAGCTGCAACAAAAGCGTCAAAGCATCAGCTTCATGAAAATGCGGAAAGGGGGACAGCTCACAAGGCAAGGAATTCGACGTTGGAGAGCACTATTGTTCTTTTCAAGCAAAAGGAAACGCTAAGTGACTTGAACTTGCCTCAGCGAAACGCTCAACCCCGCACACTTCGACTGGTCAGCACGCCGCCATGGTTAAAGAATCCAACTAAGGAAGCAGCTGATGCTACCGCTCCATTACACCACGTCGATGTGAAAAGTCACGAAACGGATCGGAATGACCACGCGTATGCCCCAAGCACTGCCGTTGATGATTGGAGCGGACGCTTGGCTCTTCACTCGATAAACTCTATCCGCAAAGCGGACACCCCAGAAGAACGTGGTATACCCCCAATAAGGACACATAGTTCACCTTCTATGGAAGCAACGGTACCCGAGCCATCTCAAGTGACACCCAAGATACAAATTGACCGAGCCTCTTCCCGACAGTATACTCCAATTTCAGTGTCAATTCGACGTAAGATTTTCGAATCTGTTCAGGATCATGCAGATATAGCTTCCTCCGTAAAGAAGGCGAACTATAAGCGTAAGACGCTTCCCTGTCGAGTTCGACATCGAGAGGCAATCCCCGTAGCTCGGAGTGGACTATCGCGGTCGTTTGTAGAAAGCTAGGAGGCTAAAGATAAACACTTGCACTCGAACACTCGACTCGGCCAAGAAGAGAACGCAGTCCCTAGACCTACAGATGCACGACTTCATCAAGAAGCCACTAGTCGGTCTTTTGTATCTACATCCCACTATTCTGACCAAGAACCTGAATCCAGGCATTTTGCCGAGCAGTCGTCTGAACTCGAAATTGCTAAGCCGATGCCCATCGCTCCTCCAAACCACGAATGTAACTGGAAAGAAAGATATGTGGCCTTGACGGCCGAGATCCGTCAGCTCAAGGCGGAGATGTCGGCGCGCGCCTCACTTATGAGTTCGGATATTCTTACCCCTAGAAACGAGCAGCAAAGAGACAATCTCGATCTATTAGCGGTTACAGTCATCTTACACTCCAGAGACAGAGACGACATCGTAATCAACACCGATGTGGCGCGGGATGTAGGGCCTAGTAACGCATGACATGAGGGCGACGGTTAAAAAGCCAACGGAGGAGAGGTCTAAGATGTTGACGGTTGCTTGGAAACTTCGCGTTGTTGGTTCTACGCTATAGAATCAGGATAGATTTTCTAGTTTTAGAGATTAACAAAGTAGCAAATAGTCTTTATTGCTAGACTTTATGCTTTCGAACGATAAATCTTGATGGATTGCTTTCGTATGTTCTGTTTAAGAGACTACTGAATTAACATTATACCTTGTAAATGCTTGTCAACCTGCCTAGCTGACCAACACTTGGACGGGCTCTACTTATCTTTCCTTGCATAAAGCAGATACAAGTAAGACAGTTAGAAGAAAAAAAAAGATGCTAACCCTAGGGCAAAAGAAAGATTTATTCCACCTGTCAGGTACAACTCCGAATCGGGGAATCGAACCCCGGGCTTGACGGTACTGAACCTGATCCTTAACCTCAGATGAGGTTAAGAAAGGCAGACATGAGAGCGTCAAATGTTAGCCACTACACCAATTCGGATGCAAATTTGAAGTAAGTTGACTGCCCACTAGCGGAATCGAACCGCTGATCTTGTCATGGCATCTAGTTTACGAGAATCTTGGATGAGTCCCATGCTACTAGTGACACGCTATACCACTTAGCCAAGCGGGCAATTTTGCTTCAGATGATGGCCGCCGCCAAAAGCGGCGTCCATATTGTCGAAGGGTTGGAAAACTACTCACATAACAGATTTAGATTTAGGGATTTTATAGAATTTGCGAATTGTTCTTTGCGATGTAGCGGGGGTGTGGGTGGTGTCGAATTTCGTATTGCGCTTTACGCCAATGTGAAGCGGTGATTGAGAGTGAGATAAGGGCTTACTGAAAGTTAAAATGAAGATATCAGCTCTTGATACCCTAATAACCCGGAAACACAACATATGCAAAGTTACAGCTGCTGTTTTCGGTCTATCTTTCACGTTCTGTCAGGACTCCGTACCTGGGGTAGACAATAGACCCTTGTTGTTGCGCGAAGGACTCTAAACTCCTTCGTAGACGCTATCTCACTATATACAGTCGGTCTCTTTGTTCTGTACTCGTGCCTCGTGACACGTTCTATCCGCAAAGCTCGACGACGAGTACCCCCAAGTAGTATAGAGAGACTAAGTCACTCACCGTTCATACAGATTCTAGTAGACAGCTCAACAAGAGGCTTCCTCCCGAATACGTAAGAGAGCCGTATTAGTAGGATACGGGGAGTTAGCAGCACTTGACACGTTTCGGTTCTTGTGCTTATGTATATATGGTATTAGAAGATTGTCATCATAGAGAGCGTATCAGTCAAACAACCATGATGGACTGTCCTCAAGCAGTACTTTCTTGTTTTATTCTATTCATCTATTCCTAGTACTACTGTAGCCTGACATGAGTTTGAAAATTATTACGATCTATATATATCCTCTGGTAGGATATAATGGTTTGGATAGGCTACTTTTCTCACTTAGTAGAAACAGATTGTCAGTGGCAGTATCGTGTGCTAGTAGCCAAGTCTTTCGAGACTCGGCAGATAATAAAATTAGAGTGACGTCCTTTCTAGATAGACATTATTGTGGAGGCGCCGCGTATGGTCTTTATTGAGCTCCATGAACCTGTAGCCCCAAAATATTCATTCTGTCCCTGATCTATCCATAAATGTTGTTAAGATAAACAACTTTTGCCCCAGAACAGATACCGAAAAGTCCCCTTTTTCCCCTCCTTCTCAAGACTTTCACCAAACTTCACATATTTCGCCAGGTAATTCATGCCAATTTCGTATGAGGTGCCCAATCAGCAAACAACCCAGAAACGAATGAGCTAGTAGCTTTTCCGGTATTACCGCTTCTCTAGTTGGGGGCCAACAATGCCGTCAGCTGCCAACCCATCAACCATCACATGAATCCCAATAAAGAACACCCACTGGGTCGAAGGTAGACTTGTATCTGCCAATGACTGAGACGATCTGGGGCACGTTTTCCTCCTCCTGACATGGGATCCCCTCTTCCTTGGCGCGTTGCTCCTCGAGTGCTGCGAAAAAAGTGTCTTCCATCTTTAAAAGGCTCGTTGTCAGTTATTGTCATTCGAGATCTAGGTAGAACCCATGAGTACTAGCCCGAGAGGGCCGCTTACACTCCGCGTAGGTTCTCGCGCTGATGGGCGTCGCTGGTGCCGGTTACCCGTCACCTCGGCATATGTTGCCGTGTCCAAGGTGTGGATATGAAATAGGATAGCTTCATCTTTATCCCACGAGTAGGGGGGTTTATTATCTCGATAAATGGTCTGGTTGACTGAATGTGTTGTCGAAAGGATTAGCACGTCCGTCTTCTTACCATTAGAAGGGAAAATGTTGATAACTAAAACCAGAAAGTATTTCTTACTCGATCCACCAGCCCTTGTGCTCATCTGTCCCATTTTGTCTATGAAGGAGGCATATTACTCTTTCCATCAGCGAGTCGCGGTATGGAAGAAGGAAAAAAAGGTGTGCTCTTACTCGTGATGCTATTGTCCGGTGGCATGCCCGTCACCCTGTAGTAGATATTGGCACCAAAAAGCCTTCGTGGAGGAGCGGCTACATCTTGAGGGTTCCGGCTAACCTGCAGAACGAAACCATGCCGGAAATAATAATCACTGATTCGAGCTTCGTCCTTAATAGGTAGATGTTGATTTCGTTCGACCAAATTGAACAGGTCTACCGAACTCGATACTCAGAGCTTCCTTTGAATCCTTCCAAGTGGGTGATGCTTTAAGCCTCATTTCGACAAGGCTAAGGCGTCTTTCTGTAATTACCCCTGAAGCACACATCCATGTGTTCCATGAGCGGGCGGCATTTGATAGGGACGATCTCGACCTGAATATCTCCGCAACTGTCCTCTCGGATTTGGCCTGGGTTGTCCTGGTTGTTTCCCCTGATAATCATTTTCAAAATGTATGCTACTGGGTTTGCCACGAGGTCTGAGGAAGAGGATAAGGCTGGGGGGAACTTACAGCTTCATTATTAGTTATTTGATAAGATCACCATTGGAATATTGAGAAATGATACTGGTTGCTTTGTTGCAGGACATCACTGAGAACCACGTAGAAAACGGTAATAACAAGTTTTTCTTTGACGTTTATAAATATACATCTAGCTACCGCCGCAGAGTATAGCCCACGCATGTCGTAACATTATTGACATAACTTGTCTCAAGTAGTTCTAGCAACTGGCTGAGATCTAAATTGGCTACACTCACTCTACTACTCTTCGGTTTCGGTAATCCTCATACGCTCATCATCACTTGTTGCAGCTTTGGATGTGTACTCACCTACATATTGCTTGTTGACCCCAGCGGACATTATTCTGTTATCAGGAGCAAAGTCATTCAAGATAAAATCCCTCAATAACAACTGGCTATGTCCTTTGATACCACGTTTGAGATATGTTATAAATGGCTGCTTGAAAATACTAGCTAAAGCAGTACATGTTTCTATAGTACTTTACAAGTTGATAGCTGCAACATCTACAATGAGTTTCAATGGACCTGACCTGTCTTAGGCTCGCGCAGGTCTGTACGCTCATACTATTTATAGTTGTCGTTAACTTATTAAAGGCATTTTTGGTTTATCATGTGCATATACATATCTGATGAACAAGGTGTAGTGAATGGGACAATGAATCTCGTTGAAGTGAGATGAGCATCGATCGTCTACAGCGTGCTTGCTTACTTGCTTGATAGATACGAATCATCATTCTTAATGCGGCTAACTTCACAACTGCCTGCTCATTAGTAGATACTTGTGAAAGGCTTTGCGCGGCGGCCAGTACTCTTTCTTACCTACTACTCTTGCGGTTTTGAGTGTCCAACGGTTACAATATACCCGAGACAGCATTCCATAATGCTGAAGAAAAAAGCTATTCAGATTTCTCGTTGGAAGAGAGTCTGGTTACCGATGGTAGTTGATAGCGGGAGGCTGTCAGTGGCTCGATATTTTCTCTCAATATGAATTTATATACGCGGGCATCCATAGCCGCTCTAGGCATTTTCATCACATGCCAGGCTAGATGGTAGCCAAGCTGGGTAAATTCTGCCAGCGACTCCTCAGGCCTTGTGACGTACCATCCAGAACATTCTGCTCTCTAGTAAAGAATAGTCATACATACTACCCTAACCCTCTGTATCTGCTCTGCACCAAAGACTTTAAGAAGAGATGTCGACGATCACGACCCTTTTTGACGTTCCGCACAAGAAATAAAAAGCAGCCGATGAGAGTTGGTTATTTCCAACCTATAACGTAATAATCAACAGCCGCTAGCTAAACGATACCTTGATCTAACAAAGAGGACGCCGTGGTCCCTGATAATAATTTTGACTTCGCTTGATTTTGGCTGCAGCCATTTGCTAATGGCCGACTGAGCTTGATCTTCACCACGGGGTTAGCCAAGACGGGTATTGAAAGCATGGTTGACTCAAGCGATGCCAAGACAAGCCTCCATGAGCAACAAGCTTTGCCAAGTAGTTAGGATAACGTCAGGGTGGACGGCAAATGCTAATTTGGTAGGTGCTGACCTAAAGCCAAGAGTATGAAATAAATATTTCAACTGTACAACCTATTGGTGGAATGGTAGATCGGGCAGGTCAATCAAGCAAATCGTAGTTCAAGTCCAAGGGTCTTGGCGATATTAATAGGTAGGTATTCTGTGCGACAATCGACAATCCGACTCGTTGCGGGGAACGGGAAGCATGCAGTGCAGTCCATCCATGTTCAACATGAGTGATATTACAGAATAAAGATTTGCTGGTGTTGACTAAACACCGGTATAAGGGAAGAATGTGTATTATTACATTGAACGATTGTCGAAACATGATAGAGCAGAATAGTTGCATCTGTAGATATTACTTAGACATTCGATAGTCTCAAGTCCTTTCCCCTACTTTCGATGAAGTTGTGCACATCACTGTAGATGTTGTTTTCAAGACCATATACATACCTCACAGTACATATATGTATACATATACATATATAGGTGTACATGGTACGCCTGCATGTGGAGTGCATCTGGGGAAGTACAGGTCGGATTTGAGATAGGTACAACACTGAACACTGGCCTCTTCTCGTGACTCGTGTTCATTGCTCGCTTCCATACGTTGGATAGTTCCGTACTCGTGCGCAACGCAAGCATTCGAAGTTGGATTGCTTGCCCGTGATCGACACGTACCACCGAAACGAAACGTCTCCCAGTGCCCCAGCCGTTTCACCCGATAACATCACCAAACAAATTGGGAGGCGGGATGTTCCAGAGACGAAAACTACTCGGAATATATACTTCCAAATTGTGGTCGCTTGACCACCACCACACGGAATGAGACGTCGGGGTTTCTCGATTCTATTCTGCGAGTTTTCTTTTCGGGCACATGTCGGTATCATGATACTAATGATAGTCAAAGCTGGCCGAATGGTAGGGACTAATTGAATATAAGTAGGTAAAAGTTTATGGATTGATCTAGGCTGCCTACCTAAGCTACCTAG